AAATCTAAAAAAAAAAAAAAAAAAAAACTTACCTCATAAAAAAAACGGTCGTCCGTGAAACGGGTACCTTCTGTCCTTCATGAGGACTCTAACTCCTCGTCAGTTCTCAACGCGCCATTTGGCGCACCGCTTTAGTTAGATTACCCTCTTTTTTTTTTTATCTCGATTTATTCGTGTCATCCTTACGCAGGGGGCATGCGAATTTGCTTAATGCGCGACCGATTTCGGTTGTTTGATCTGACGATCACGCGGTCGAAATTAAACACGCCAGGTATAAGATTTCTCGTCAAGGCTGCTCCAAAATGGAGCTAGCCCAGCTAGGGCGTGCTAGTTTCAATCCTGTAGTCTCAAAGGTGAGAACCAGATGTTGTAACCTACTGGGCTAGCTCCTTCCATGGATGTAGAAGGTGTAACTCTTCTACAAGAAAAGTGTTCGCTCTGGTATATCGGTCGGCGTATAGCTCCACGGACCCTACTAGCCCTTCGAGCCATAGGACCAACCTTCCCTCGCTAGGTCGCGGCCGCTTATCCTGGCGTGGTCGTCCTTGTTAACTCCCATGGCCCGAATCGCGGGACTGCTAAGCCGCACAACATCATTTTAAGTAGACTGAAACTTATAATTAGTATTCCAATGGTTGTACGTCCCTGCGGCCTCGTAAGATGTGAACCGAGGTTAGTCGTACCGCCACAATTGGATGCGCCATTACTCTTGAACGCCGCAAGCGTCCAGATTAGGGTTTCCACAAAGTTTTAATCGTTGTCATAAGTTAGTCTGAATAAACTTTTGGCAGGCGTCAATCTTATCGAGTTTCTCAATTTAACAAAAAATTCGGACAACGTCTGATATTGAAAAAACCGAGCAAATGCCCTTGTAAGGGTTTCTGCTCCGACACCGCATCTTTGCCATCCAACTTTTTTATCATCACTACGCTGTCCGCCTGCTCTGCGAAGTCCCCCCTCATGACGCTCCCTCCTTTCCTCTCAGCGTCCTCCTCTTCGGTTTTGCATGGAGGCAGTACAACCACATGGAGTTGTATTGCATCATCTCCGGGACCTTCCCTATCGTGGAAGATTATGAGTCCCTGCGAGATAACACCCTGCGCGTGCTTCTCACCCTGTATGCTGAATACCTTGCTTTCCTCCCCCGACCCAATGGTCGATTTATCCACATGCATCACATCGTCCACTTCATCGATCTCAGTGACAAAACTTTTGATTGCTTTCCCCCACTTCCCCAAGAATGGCCCCGATCTGCTCCTCCTTCCCTTCTCGTTATTTACAATACGGCTGAGCACCAATGAGCTAGCAAACTGAATCCAAATGATGTCATATGGAAAACAATTGTGGAGGCTGACGATTGTTGATGAGGCGCGACAACGAACTTACGAGGATATTGCAATTGAAGATTGTGCCAACATATGCTTTTCGGCGGTCCATGTTGGAATTACCCGCACCTTAGCGAGCGCGCTAGGGAGCTTGTTCGACAACTGGGAATTATGGGATTTACGGATGCTTTTCCCGCTGGCGTGTCGTTTTTTGCATATGGATGTTCACGCACCCCCCCTTGAAAGATCTGTAAATTTTCAGTAGGCAACTAGATAGGCGTGGGATTTTCCCGTGCTCAATCCCGCACGCTGGTATTGCATTTGAATTTCTCAATCTTTAGTAATTTTAGGACGGAACGTAACTGTTTTGGTATCTTTCTTCTTTTTTGCACTAGTGCCATGCATGCAAACTTTCCCCGCTTTCCGCTAGGACCTATGCCATATTCACCCTCCTCCTCTTCACGCCTTCTCTCCTTCACCAGTAACTATTTCCATCCCCTCTCTCTTGCACTTCACCCCTACTCCTTCTTGTTTGAATCTTGGTCCCACTCCACTCTACTTTTTGCGCTCTCCTCCTTCACTCCTCCATCCCCACACCTGAACTCCCTACCAATTCCAAGCCCCTAAAGTATTTGAAGTCGTGAGGTGACGTCATGTACGGAGGATACTCCCCGCACACATCGATCTGATTGGCTGCGAAGAAACTCGCGGGGATTGATATGGCTTTCTGATGGCAGCTATCCCAAACTCCCTTTTCACCCCTTTCTATCTCCACCTCTCGCTTCTCCATCTTCTATTTCCCCCTTCGCAACTATAAGACCCGCAAGCGCACTCGAAAATCTCTCTCTCAACCCATCTGCCAGCTTCAGGGAAGTCGTGGCTCGGTGATGTGCAAGTAGCAAGTCGGAAAGTCCTGACGAGCTGACTGTAGTGTACGCATGACTGTGCGCTGGGTGGTCGTGACGAACTGCGGGATCTGGGCAAGTAGGTGCAAAAGCGGGGTTGGCGGGGTGACGATCGGCGTGGTATGAAGGTTGGTATGTGGCGGTCGGGATTGTCGGTAGCTGAGTAAGAAGGGTGTGTGTTTGTATGAATGGTTGAATGGCCAGGAGTCATTACCGAGAGTAGAAGCCCGGTGCGCCTTGATATTCAGGTTCTTATTCTGTTGGTTCTCAAAAAGTTAAGTATACGTTGAATAACCGAGTGTTCTCCCTCAAGATTATATGTGTGACTCGAGTTTTTCTTTTTGCTCCCCGATTCTCCCTCATTCAATCACGCCTCTGTCTCTCTCTCTCTTCATCTTGTTTCGGTGTTTATAATTGTTTGATGAATGACAAAATGACTCAAGATTTTCCTTGATCTCGCTTGTCATTGTTCAATTCAACTGGATCTCGCACGAACGAGCATTGTTGAATTCAAAGGTACTAGTGAATTCTGGAAGGTCTTTTGATTTTTTCTTTTCTATCGATTGGTGTATCCGTCGAAGAATGAAGGATTCCTGTATGTAAGGTTTTTCATGCATGAGTATTGCCTGAACTGGGTAAGTTAAAGCCCATCAAGATTATGAGAATGTATACTCGTTGCTCCTATAATAAATGATGATTGTTGTTGTGATCGGGTCGAACTCACATCCCTCTTTTTTATCGATTCGATGAACGGAAGCATCCTAACTAACTATTTTTGCGATCGAACAATCGACGGAGTCGAATTCAAGTACTCAGAATTCGCTTGTGCCATGTGGACTCCCTGCATCCCTATCACGACCATTCCAGTACAACGAGGATAGGACACGTGTTTGTGAGTGAGACATACGAGAAGTCATCGCCAAAATTGGCGGACGATATTATTTTCCACCAGAGACAAGGTGCTCTGGATTCGTATTGCCTTTTAATGAGTTGATCGTCATCCCGTGAACGACAGTAGCACCCCATTGGCCTAATACAATGTGCAATGATTGTTGCCCCGCAGAGCGATACCAGAAAAGGGGGTTCCATTATGGCACACTGTGGCGAAGGCGAGCACAAGGAAAAAACAACCAGGCTAAGGCCATCCACGTCAGATTCCGAGCTCTGCAACGACTGGCGTCGAGATCTGATCCGGAACTTAGACCCCACGTGCGTTCCCTCGCCCTTCCACTCTAAAAGACGGCCCGTCGCCCGCGCAAAAGTTTAGTGATACTTTTTGGATTGAATGGATGTTTGAAAATTGCGCGCGTTCGCTTCCTCCTTCCACGTCACTGACCCGTTCTCGCAAAACCGAAACCACGCGGGGGAGTTCAATTCCGTTTGAGTCCTCACACTAAAATTCCCAAAAATCCTTGGCATACCCCATTCTGCTGTCTTTCAGGGCCTACTTTGCAGATTAATCACTCCGACCGGAAGGCAGCACAAGGCGTGAGGTTGAACGTCACAGCACCGCGGTCAGCACTGCTGTCACGTGGAAGTGAGGGAAGAGCATCGGTGAACTACCACTGGTGGCGCGGTACCCGGCCCGTTTTCGCCCTTTCCAACACAACGAAATCACTTGAGTTCCCAAGAATCCAAGATAGTGTGTGATATTTGTAGGGCATGCTCCCGCTTGAACGTTTTCGACTGGGCTTTGGCCGTAATTGCTGTCAGAGGCATCCCTGTTCGGCATTACTTCAGGCCAGATGCAACCAGCGACCTCTGGGTGCTAGTATGCCTTCAGTACCTTCTCTCAATTTCACCTCGCACTACCTACCTACCACTACACTCCTAATTGTAGGCATACGGGGAACCCCGTAGCAGCGAGAACCGTGTTCACTAGAGAACATGGGGGGGCTGCTCCCGACCTGCAGGTGGGTGATACTGGCTAGGGGACAGCCGGTGGCATCAGGGATCATGCCAACAGGACCAATCCCTGTGCCTCCCCTCAGGTCCCCTCCCCTACGAACATCAGCAGACTCTGCTCAATGCCAACCGGGGGATCCAGTGGTCTATCTCTAGGTGGCGGGCGCCAAGCATGCCCAGGAAGGTACACATGACCAATGGGGCTTGAACCTATGACCTTCTGAATGCCACTTGCGAGCCTTACCAACTGAGTTAGGCCGCTGGATTACCTTTTTTCTTACTGTCAGGCGCTCGGGCGGCCTGGTTTCTTCACTTCGATTGATTTTGGGTTGGATATATAATATAATATAATATGATTCATGACGCGCAGTGTTGGAGCAAGAAGACCAATGGGGAGCTCCGGCGCACGTAGTACCTTTGCATTCCGCGCTGAGAGGCACCCACCGAAAGCCACGTTGGCGCGCACTGTTTTTTTTTCTTTGCTTTGTCCCTGCCACTTTTATTATGCATTTTCGCTCGTTTCCTCCAGCCCATCAGGTTTTTTCGTTGGTTTTCGTCTCTCCGACCAATACGAATGCGCCGTTCGCGACGCTGAAAGCTGGGCTTCCTGTCCGCTTTCTCTTTTCGATTCTTTTCGTTTGTCAAGCGCTGTCAAGCGCGCGAGGGCGCGCTCTGCTGTCTAGGTGAAAAAAAAACCCTTCACCCTCGGTAACCTCGGCGCTTCACCGTCGGGGACCTCCCGGCTCCCGGCTCTCTCTCGTGCACGCCTCTCTCCGTTGCCTCAGTGATTGAATCGACGATGCTCAACTTCGCTCGCCCATCTGGTATTTATCGATCTGGGACAAACGTTTGTATATCGTGATGCGATTTTTCTTCTTTCCATTTGTTCGCCTGCTGGTTCTGCTCCGCTGTGGGCCGTGCCCTCTTCAGAACAAAGGTCGTGTATGAACGAACGGGAGGGGGCCAGGGGTGCAGAGGCGGGAGGAGGCTGGTCGTTTGCCACGAAGGTACTTAGCGGAACGTGACGACAATTTTGAGTTGCTTGCTCGTTGGTCGTAGTAGAGCGTCAGCCGGAGTATCCCTTCTCAGATCTGTGTTTTGTCTCTCCTACGTAGGTCTTCGTCTTCTCTCTCCTGTTCATCGCCATATCCGTGCGAGATGAAGGTCTCTGTAAAGCCGTTTCTACTGCTGTTGATCGGCTTGTTGTGTCTCTCTCACCCTCTACATCGGCTCGCGCGAGCCGACGATGACGGCCAGTGTGGCGTGTCTCCAGATGGAGGGTGCGCTGCATCTGGGGGCGCCAAGGACGCAGAAGTACCGAAGGGTGACGATGAGGGGGCCAAGGATGTCGAGGAAGGCCTGGAGGATGAAGAGTGGGGTGTTTACGTAACCGACGCGGAGGATCCTCCTTATGTGGACGATAAACCCGCCGCCGCCGCCGATGCGGAAGAAGAGGAGAAGGAGGTTGAGGACGAGGGTCCGACCGATGTCGTCGCCCTGGACTCGACCACGTACGCGGAGACGGTGAAGTCCAAGGAGTTCATCATGGTGGAATTCTACGCTCCGTGGTGCGGGCACTGCAAGAAGCTTCAGCCCGAGTATAAGGTCGCGGCTTCTAAGATAAAGGCGATTTACGGAGATAGGGTGACGCTGGCGAAGGTTGATGCCTCTGTTGAGAAGGATCTCTCCTCCGAGAACGAGGTGTCGGGTCTGCCGACCATATTCTGGTACGAGAAAGGCGAGAAGATCGCGACCTACTCAGGTGGACGGACAGCGGATGGCATCGTGATCTGGATTAAGAAGAAGTTGGGAGATTCCGTTGACGTCATCGCCACCAAGGACGCCGCCGAGGAGTACATGTCTCAGAACCCGCGATTTGCAATCGGATATTTCGATAGCCTCAGCGGCCCCGAGTGGGAGGCATTCCAGGAGGCCGGGAAGCTGGATGATAGCAACAATTTTGTCGTGACGACCTCCGCTGACGTGGCCGCTGTATTTGGCGTCGCAGTTAAAGCTCCGGCTGTTGTGTTTGTGAAGGAAGGTGACGCTGGTAAGTTCAATCTCTACGAGGGAGATGAGTTCACAGCGGCGGCGATCAAGAAATTCGTGGTTGGCAACAATTACGAGCTGTACTACAAATTCCAGGAGGCCAATGTGCAGAAGATCTTCCAGAGTGGAATTCAGAGGCAGTTGCTTTTCTTCCTGACCGCGGCCCAGGAGGAGGAATACCTGCCTTTGTTCAAGAAGGCGGCGAAATCCGTGCTGGGAGAGGTTGTCTTCGTGCACGTCGACGTCGACCATTCCGAGTCGGCAAGTGTGTTGAATTACTTCGGCGTTCAGGGCAAAGAACCGCGGGTGGTCGGTTTCTCCACTTTCGATCGGAAGTCAAAGACCCACGCTTTCGACAAGGAAATTGTGTATGAGAACGTCCTTTCGTTCGCTAAGGACTTCGCCGCCGGGAAAGTTCCTCACATCCCTCTGTCTGAGAGGATTCCCGAGGGTCCTAATGACGGCCCAGTGAAGGTGGTCGTCGGAAAGACTTTCGATCAGATCGTGCTCGACTCATCCAAGGATGTTTTCCTCTTCGTGTACAAATCCGCAGACTGCGAACGCTGTGACGATTTCTCCCCTGTCATTGATAAACTCGGAAGTAGGTTCAAGGCGGTTGACAGTGTTGTCATTGCGAAGATTGACGGAGTGGCCAACGAGCTCGCTCGGATTGATAGCTCGAAAGATCACCCTCTTTTGCTTCTGTTTAAAGCAGGTGATAAGTCTGCTGATCCTGTCGCTTATGAGGGCGAGAGTAATATCACTGCTCTGACCAAGTTCCTCAAGGACAACGTCGCGATCCCTTTCAGATTGGCGAAGAAGGAAAAGGCGCCGGAGCCGGCGGAGGGCGAAGCGAAAGATGAGTTGTAGAGGTTCAAATTTGCTTTTAGCAACTGGTTTTGTAGTTTTCGAAGTTTTTTTTGTTTGCCGAAGTCTTGGCCTCGGTTTTGGGTTTTTAACTGTCTATTCTGAGTTGTTAGGTAGGTAACTCTCCGCCTTTCTGCCCTTCTGTTCTCTGTGATTTTAGTCCGTTCATTCATCATTCCCCCCTCCCCCTCCGTCCCTCCCCCTCCCTCCCTCCCCCTCCCTTCCCCTCCCAGCCCAAGTTTCTCTTCCTTAGCGGCTCGCCCTCTTGTGGGTTCGATGACATCTCACGCAGTTCTATTGCCGTGAGTTTTCCGCTTGGATTTGCGCTTCGAGATGTGGACGAATGTTGTGGCGAGAGAAACAGAATCGATCGAGGCGCGATCAGTTCGTCTGTACGTTTATTTTTCTTCCCTCGAGTGGAAGTAAGCCATTGAGTTTAGTATTCGATACGCTGAGTGCATGCGGTGGCCATGTAATACGATGGCTTGTCTGATGGAAATGCTTGACGTCCATTTTTCGTCCCTTTTCTGCTGTTGGAATGTCATCTGTGTGGAAATGACGCCGTTGAAATAGTCATTAGCACAGTGTTTCCCTCCCCCTGCCCTTCCGTGTTTGCAGTGGTGTTATTCGTCGATGTTTGTGGAATCGGCTTCATTGTCAGATTTCTGCGTCATGTGCCTTCATGTACCTATTCTGTCCCTCTACCTACGAAGCGTACTCTTCTCCCCGGTCGAGTCCCCATGCTTCCCTCCCAATCTTCCGCCCGGCTCTATATGTGTTGTCGCGTGTTCGCTATCTGTGCGCGTCTGCGTGTGTGCATGTGTGTGTGTGTGTGTGTGTGTGTGTGTGTGTGTGTGCGTGCAACTCCACCAAACAAGCATCACTGTGCCAGACTGTTTCGTCGGACTTTTACCGACTCATCAGGAGGCTGAACCCCGACTATGACAGTCTTCCCAAAATGCATTTCGCCGGTGGATTCACCACGTTGCCCAGAGTTAGTGATAGCCCTGGGAAAAGTTGTGGACTTTACTTTCACCAACCCTTGGGGCTCGCGCGCGCACGCGCGTGTGTGTGTGTGTGTGTGTGTGTGCGCTTGCATTTTGAACGTTTCTCGTCTGTATCCTCAGCACTTGTTCAATGACTGCTCCCTTTTTCTGCACTCTCTTGGGCCTGGTGGATTTCTCTATGTTTGTATGGATATTCGCTTGAATCTTTTCCTCAAGGTATACTTGGGGAGCTTTCTAGTGGACGGGTGGGGTTTCCGTGTCTACTCCGTCTACCCGGGGCTTCCTTGAGCTCTCTATTTACCAGGGCACTCCCGGGGAGTGCCAAAATCTCTGGACTTTTTTCTTTTCCGAGGATCTCATGAAAATTGCCCTGGCAGTGGAAGAGAAACCAGCTATAGCAGCAGACAAGCAAGTCGACTGCTCAAGTTGGTCATTGCCATCAAGAGATGTTTTATCGTTAGTTAACAACCTTGAGACTGCGGCATCTCTTGCGCGTGTAACTTTGTGGCGATTTCCTGTTCCCCGTCAATATCCCGCGATCGGTGCAGCAGGCTGGCTGTATGGCACGTGATTTCGTCGCTTCCCTCGATATCCACTTCGCCTATCTTTCTATCCACCTTCATCAAAGTTTACCATCTATTAATCATTGTAATTGTCATCATATCTGAATGATATCCCTACTTTCTGGTCCTCGAAAGCGCCTTGCCGTTCGATTTGATAGGTCGCGTGGTGGAATCCCAGAATCCAAGGGGGTTTTGACGAAGGGAATGTAGTCGGCTCGTGAGAGAATGATCTATGGGACTGTAAACTTGCCTCTATTGTTCTCTCCGGTATAGTGAGCGTCTGGAAATTTTCCTTCTTGGGGAAACTTCGCGGGAGTCACGAAAGCGAGTTATAGTTGCACTATGGGGCAAGATATAGTTTGGAATTACAGTTCGGGCAATGTATACAACCCAGCTTTGTGGCCAGGTAGGGTGCCCGAAGTGCAATTGCAAACTGTATCTTGCCCCATAGTGCAATTATAACTTGTTTTTATGACTCTGCTGAAGGTTTTTATCCCTTTGTTGTTTTAAGGTTTTCACTGTGTGATTTTAGGTTATGATTCCGGAATAGTGAGTTCTCCATCGTCAAGGCCAAGTCTGACTGTGATTACTTGGTGGATAAAAGCAGTTGAATTCACAGCCAGACAACTTCTAGAGGTCGTCTGGAAATCTTTTGTTGTGTTACGGTTTTCAGTGTGATTTTAGGGTAGAATGCCGATTCTGACGGTGATTATCTGGTGGAAATCACAGTCGAAATTGCTAACCGAATATCACACCGATTCATCATAGCAACAGCGCATGATGTATAGGACAAGGCCAATTCTCATTGTGATTACCTGGTGGATAAAAGCAGTTGAATTCGCAGCAAGACGACTTCTACCTGTCGTCGACATTGCTAAGCCGGAAGTCACACCGATTCATAGCAAACAGGGCATGATGTATAGAACTGCAAACTTACGCCTATTGTTCCCTCCGTAACAGAGGTCGATAGCAGCAGGGCAAGATGTAAAGGGTATAGGAATGTAAAATTTACGTCTATTGTTCTCTCTGGTACAGAGGTTGTCTCGAAATCTTTTCTTGTGTTACGGTCTTCACTGTGTGATTTTAGGGTAGAGTGAGTGCCGAAGTAATGACTCGGAGCCCTCCCTCCCCACCGCCAAGGCCAATTGCGACTGTGATTTCCTGGTGGATTAAAGCACTTGAACTCACAGCGAGACAGACTTCCTGTTGCGATGAATGAATCGGTGTGATGTGCGCTTAGCAATGTCGAGGACAGGTAGACGTTGTCTGCTATTGAAAAATGAAAAAGACAGCTGCTCCCCACCAATAGATGGATATTCCCCGACAATGCTAGTGGGCCCTGCTCTTATCAGCACCCCCAGCGTTAGCTCGGGTTGTTCTCTTTAACAAAAAAAAAAAAAAAAAAAAAGACTGACATTGCGTAGCTGCACAGCTACGTCGGTGAGTGAATGGGAATCGAACGAGTTAGCACAATCAGGAGATGGAGGATTCGGAGTGTTTTTTTTTTTTTTTTTTCCCCGAAGGGGCCATGCTAAATTCTTCTTTCTCTGTATCCTTCCAATATTAACGGATCTCCCAAGGTAGCTTTTTTTTCTTTGATTCGGAGGTTACCAGTGTCAGGGGATGGGAGATCAGAAGGGAAATCGGATTGATTAGGGTTCCAACGAGAGACCTGGCGCTGTCCTTGTCTTATCTGGTCCAGGGATTCATTTCGGAAGACGACACAAGAGCGCATAATATTTGAAAAATCGCTACGGTTTCCTTTTTTGGGAAGACAAATCACAGCTTATTAGAATCGATTTCGCCTTTCCCGCTGTTCTATGCCCGTGACCGTGCCTCCATTCCTAATAGTGTTTTGAACATCCATCCGCCGGGGAAAAAAAAAAAAAGAGGCTAAAAAGAAAATTTTCTGGCCGCCCTGCGTTGGTTCTTCTGAACTCGATCTAAATCTTTTTTTTTTTTTTTTTTTTTTTTTTTTTTTTTGGACAGGCTGCTCCATCTATTTGTGGGGGGCGTCACCTGCTGGAAACCGGGTCCAGCGTCCCATAGGGCCACAGATACATCTTTTTTGAAACCTTAATTAAGCTTCTATCATGACAATTACACAGTCGTACACTTGTCCCACGTAGTCCTATGTTTGGCCGTCACATTTGATTTGGGTAGGTGGGTGTAGCAGATATGAAGCCCACAAGCCTAGGGCATTTCCCTTTTTTTTCTTCCCCTCTTTAAATTAAATCCGTTGCTTAGGTACTTGCAATATATGTAGTCACAGAGAACTTCCTCTTGAAAATATACGTATTCAACGTGAAAGTAGCGACATCCCATTGCGGCCAGGTCACCTAGCCGAGTTGGTGATGGGGGGGTGATGGTCCTGGGTTGTCCACACTATGGTAGGACAAAGGGGGTGGGGGTGTGCCGGGGTAATTGATCAGAGGAAGGGCGAAAAATAAGAAAAAAAAACATCCCCTGGCCGCGGTGCATTTAGAAGTTAGGCAAAGCAGTCTCCTTTTTATTGTCAGGGACTGCGACACACTACTCTCATTGAAGCTATGTCTGATTTCCCGTACTACTCTCATTTAGGCTGTCTGATTTCCCGCACTACGCTCATTTAGGCTATGCCTCATTTGCCATTTCAAGCAGCAGTCTTGTTTAGGTTGTCAGCGATCATGCTGCATGTTTTTATTTAGGTTGTCTGATAACCTGCTTGGTGTTAGGGCCTGGTTCGAATTCGAGGGTTGAAGGAAAATTCTTCGTTCCACCCCTCCCTCCCTAATGACACCGCCGTAATGTTTTCAATTTCCTGCTCTCAAGTGTGCATCTTTGAAACTCAAGCTGGGGCAAAATCGCACTTGAACTCAAGGTACCTCCCCAAGGTACCTACCTCCCTTAGCACTTTGACTGGGGCTTTTTTTTATTGTTCTTTTTTTCCAGCAGGCATTCTGGTCCAGGATTGGTCAAGCCGTGGGTTTCTGTTTCAAGCGCAGCTTGTTCAAGGGTTTCCTCAAGTGCACGCGGAACCATACATGGAGTTAGTGTAAACAAATCTCAATTTCAAGTAGTGTCGAACGAGAGGCAGGCGGAGAGGGGAAAAGTACTCACTTGGCATAATGCATGACACACGGCGTGCAATTCTCGTCACATGATGAGTAGCTTGCAGTTTGAAACTGCAACTTATGAATCTGTTCTGCCTTGGCATACCAAAGAGGCTCTTTTTTGGGGGGACTGTCAACCATGCCTTATTCCGAAGGGGAACTCCATTGGCTAGTATGATGAGAGTCTCAATCTCATGGTTTATAGATTGTGTGTGTTGATTATTTCTGGTACAAAGAATACTTTAGGAACGCAATGGGTGCTGAGTATTTCTGGTACAAAGAAAACTTTAGGATGTGCTCACATGTACCACCCCAATCCCAATCCTTTGGGAGACAGATGCCACTCTGGGGCACTCTCACATGCAGTCTTCATCAGGCGTCTTTTCATCCGAACGCGATGAATCTGATGAAAGGACCCTCTTCTCCTGCCTGCAACTATTATGCCCAGGGCCACTCCATTTTCCACGTGGTGCACAGCACAGTCTTAGATCAGTAGAAACATCCTCTGATGTAGTGGCGGTTCAAAACCATTCCGTATGAGGTGGTTTTATTCTGTGGAAAGAGACATACTTGCATTTCCGAGTCAGAGGGTCTTAAACCACCAGTACTTGGCCCAGCTATCCAGTCCGAGCCTCGGCCGACTGGTATGCCGAGCCTTGCCGAGGCTTGAACTACCGGGCACTAGCTTCCCGTACGTGGCTGCAGAAGAACACGGAAACGAGAAGACAAAAAAAAAAAAAAAACAACAACAACAACAACAACAACAACAACCAACGCAACGCAAAAAAGCAACGAGAGAAACACGGGATACTCTATTATAAGGAAAAAAGGAAAAACAAAAAACGGTCCCTCTGCTACTCTCAAAACGTGCAAAACGAGAACGAATCTTCTGCTAGAACATGGAAAGATACACTGCCATGATTTTTGTCTTCAAGATAGCAGCCGGGGGGCTGCTTGGAGCACCGCGCACAGCCTGGCGATTCTCTGTGTGTGTGTGTGTGTGTGTCTCTCTCTGTCGACGTGTGCACGGTAGATAAAATCATGGTGGTGTATCTTTCCATGTTCTAGTGAAATATTCACTCTCGTTTTGCACATTTCGAGAGTAGTGGAGCCAGACTCTCTCTCTCTCTCTCTCTCTCTCTCTCTCTCTCTCTCTCTCTCTCTCTCTCTCTCTCGTGTGCATGCACGCGTGCACCATAAAACACCTGCGTGGGAGGCGGGTCAAATGGCCACGAAAGACCTGCGTAGCGTCCGTCGGGGTTTTTTGGTTGAACCAATAAATCGGACCTTCCTCAGGCAACCACTTGTCATCATCGCAAAACTCCTTGTATATAGCATGATCGAGTTATCTCCAACCAACAAAAAATTAAGCAAGTGCGGAGCAGAAACCCTTACAACGGTAATTGCTTCGGATTTTCAATGTTGTTCGACTGTTGATGAGATTTTGTTTGAATGATTGACTTGATGACAATTAGGCTTTGCCAAAGTCTATTCAAACTTGACTGACGACCGAGAGGCTAAGGCGTTTCACCTAAAGTTCTGATGCATGCGGCTTGCGAGGGCGATGGCGAGGATCGATGGTTTGACTGGCTGCCCCCCATCAACTGTGGCCGGTGTAAATACTAAGTCTATACTTGTTAAAATTGTGAAGTCGAGCGACTCGAGGCCTAAATGACTTTAAAAGTGGCGTGTACAGTCGCGGCGTAGAAAAATGTAGATTGTCAATTTCTTTTAAGGGTCATAACATTGCCCACGTTGAGGGGTTGAGCCCACACTCAGGTGATAAAGGATATGGATCCTACCCTATCAGGTAGGATACACGTTTGATCCAAGAGTGCGGCAGCTAGTCGGTTGAGAAGCGGGGGCAGGCGGAGCCAGCCGGATCACGGGACGAGTGCCACCGGGGACAAACTCTTCATAAAAGAGTTGCTCCTACTAATTCCATAGTAGGAGCTAACCCAGTAGCCACCCAAAACCGAGATCGAATTTGAAGACGGTCCTGCCAGGGCTAGGTCCATTTTGGAGTAACCCAATGGGGAGTTACATGCTTGGCGTGGTTGGTTTCGATCGCGCGATTGTGAAATCATGCGACCAAAATTATCCGTGTCGCAGATTAGCATGATCCCCGCGCAAGGATGTGACATAAATTGAGAATGGTTCAAAGTTTTCTTTATTCTTTTACCCAATTCGGTTCCACTAGGAATCAAACCTGAGCTTGCTTTTCGCAGGTTCGTGGTTGGGCCATGAGTGGGGGTGAATGGGGAAGTCGTTGGCATAAGCCAACGGTCTAAGGGAAAAAAAAAAAAAACCTAAGTCCAGAACGCCAATGGCACGCTTACAAGAGCCTGGGAGCTATAACTCCCAAGACGTAGGCCAGGCGCCCGTTTTCACGGGCATTAAACCGCCATTTTTAGGAATTTTTGTTTTCGTTTTTTTTTTTTTTTTTTTTTTTTTTTTTTTTTTTTTTTTTTTTTTTTTTTTTTTTTTCCTTCTGTTTTTTGAGTTTTTGCCCCTCACCATTTGAAATAGCAGCAGCTACGTGGCTTGACGAGGCGCTGCATCTTCCCGTGGGTAAGGGGAAAATTCGTTTCCATCTTGCACATTTGGTGAGTAAAGGGGCGAGAACCATTTTTCCTGAGGTTGCACTTAGTCTGCCCCTGCCCTGAATCCATTTGGATTTGAACTTTGGTCTTCATTTCAACAGTTCATGGTTGTGCCTTGGAGGCATAACATTTTAAAGGGCGTCGTA